CTTTCCCAAGGGATATGGTTCGGGGTTGCTTTTGGAATAAAAATATGACTTAGCTAACAAAAGAGAGTCACATGATGAGGATCACATAATGTAAGGTATTCAGCTGTCTCTTAGTCTGTTTGAGCTCTGTGGTTTCCAGAGTGAGACAATGAAGCTAAAAAAATTATTTTTGTTAGAGAGTCATCTAGTGAATGAGCGATATTTCAGAGGAGTTCAGAGTAAAACAATATAAATTTGAAGAGAGAATTGTGACCCCGACTCTGTTTAAATTCAGCACATCCTAACCACATTACTGCAATTGGCAAATACCATTATACTTAAATACCATATAAAAACTGATGTTTAAAATTGCTGTAAGTGAAATCACAGTATATGTAAGGCCTTTTCGTGTTTGATTTGTTTAACATAATGTCTGTGAGATTCATCCATGCATGTGGAAGAAGGCTATGTAGTATTCTCATCTTATGAATAAACCACAATGCACGCATTCTCCTGTTAATGGACATTTGAATTGTTTCTAGTTTGGGGTTATGAACAAAGGTGCTCTGAACCTCTTGGTATGTATCTTTTGGTGGATCCATTATATTTTTTTGATCTGACTTTTTGCTGACACCTACTAAATCTATTGATTTTGGTATGCTTATTTAGATTTGGCTATCTTAGTGAATTCTAATGTACTTTTCAGTTCATTTTCTTGGAGCATATTTACATGATACTGAAAGCTTTTAGTGTCATGTAACAGAAAAGCTAACTCAAATGGAATCAAGGCCCAAAGAATATATATTTGCCCCTATAACTGCAGAGTTCAGCATGGATCTAGCTTCTGGAAAAGTGTGATCCAGAGAGCAGGTTGTCATCTGCACTTATCTCCATTCTTTGGGTTTCTCTTGGTTTTACCCTCCTTTGTGTGCTTACTTTGTCCTCCTCTCCACAGGAGAAATAACTGCCACAGCATTTTCCCTCACAGAGATAACAACTGCTACAGCAGTTCCCTCTACTAGGTGCAGTAGTTGTTACAGCAATTCAAGAATTCATGTCCTCACCACGGCATCCAGAAGAAAGGCTCATTGTGAGGGCCACAAATGAAGATCAAAGAAGAATTTTGCTCAAGTCTCTAGTTAATACTAGAATTTTGCTCAAGTCTCTAGTTAATTCAAATATCATTGGTTCAAATTAGATGATATTCCAATGTATAGGCCAATTAAATGGTGTGGTGGATAGGATAGTCCTCCCTAATTGGCTTAATTTAAGTGGGACCATCTTCGCCCTGAGAGGTGGTTCTTACTAAATCATGTGACTTCCAGGAGTGAGATCCTGAAAAGAATTATAGAAAGTTTTCTATTGAAGAAGGAAAGTGACACTGAAGAAGCAACCTCACCATGTTTGTTTTTATAGTAAGTAGAATGATATTGCCTATAAGGATTATTTATCATCTCAACATTAGTAGTTTTCAGCTCTGTGTCTTGACTCGCATGTTGGCCAAAATATAGTCTTTCAACTTACACAAAATGAGAATGCCTTTAGGTTTTTGGAAAACTGTTAGGAAGCATGTTTACAAAAACAAAGAGAAGGTGGGAAATTCAAGAAGTGAATGCTCCCTAGTATTCTGTGTGAAGAGGTTCAACATCAGGGTGTACCAAGGATATATACAAGGAGGGATCAAAAAAGCAAGAGGTGGTTAAGATGGGCTTGGCAATGTGGGAAGATAAACTGCTTTTCTGTTGCTGTGTAACAAATCACAAAATTTTTGTCTGAAGCCAACCTAGTTTTACTACCTCCCAGTTTTTGTAAATCAGAGGTCCAAACACAGTTTAAAGATCTCTGCTCGAGGAAAGTGCTGACTGCATTCTTGTCTGGGACTTGGCTGTTCTTCCAGGTCATTCAAGTTGTTGGCAGAACTCAGTTTCTTGTGGTAATAGGGCTGAAGTCTGATTTCTTGCTGGCTGTCAGCTAGAGGCTACCCTCTGGTATTTGCTGCGTGACCCTGACACAAAATATCAGTTTAATTCTTCAAGGTCAGTGGAAAATGTCTCCCCAGTCTGCTATGACACAGTTTCATAAAGCATAAAGCATCGTGGAAGGTCTGTATTCCGTTATGTTTCTATTTCCTCATTCTTTGATACAGGAGGTAGGAAAAACACAATGATAAAACATCCTTCCCTACCCATAAGTCTGTGTTTGAGTTTGCCTGCATAATTTTCTTATTTAAAGAAGCCAAAGACTCTCTTTTTATGTTGTTTAACGAAGGAGGCTGCAAAGAGAGCATTTGGATATGAGTTCTAAAGGTCAAGGAAAAGGGAAGTTCTGCATGGGCTGGAGACCTGGACCTCTTTTTTGTATAGTAAGTCCCACATAGTTGACATTCTTTATACCACAGTGCTTTTCCCACTCCTTCCTTGAGCTCCACTGAATCAAGGGTACCCTCATGAATGCCAAAGAACATGCTTTCTTGAAGAATTCTTAAACTAGTTAATGACAGTGCCTGTAGGACACGTTGGTGGGAACTTACAGTGAAAATTGTTAATTTAAGCCACCATGAGGATTGAGTGCTCATGGTTAGAATATTCCTTCTTTTTAGCTATGTAAATTTGGACAAATGACTTAGTATCTCTGATCTTCAATTTCTTTGTCAGGGGAATATAAATTGTAGTATGCATGTAAAGTATATGAAGTGCTTTTTCTAGCTCAGATGCATGATAAATGATTTAAAAATCTGAACCTTTTTCAGCTCACTTAACTTTCCAAGGAAGCTTATTAAATCAGAATTATGATTATGATTATTTTCCATATTTTCAAATAATCCCCAGCAGTTGACAGTTTTGGTGTTTCTCATGATACTGTGATACTTTGTGACAGTTGATTATATGTCAGGCTTCTTCCACTGTACCTGCACAGTAGGGTGAAATTTCATAAATGTCTTGCTAGGTTGGCAGCATGTCTTAGGAAGAGATTAGCCAACTCTGCAAAAAACAGTCAAGCTATAGAAATACCAGATGATACAATAGACTGAATAGAGTTCGATATTTTTTTGTCCAGATCTTCAAATAAAACTGGAATTAAGAATATGTGCAAACCTGGTTGTTCGATTTTAGTATCTATGATATACAAATAGCTATTTTGAAGAAAACAACACAACATAAAAGCTAGTGCTGATTTAATATCATCTTGTTTTGAAGTCCCATCTAGCTGTGGTACATCTATTTCCACTGGTTTTAACATGTTGTATCTTACTATATTTCACTATCTGCTATAGTATAAACAAAATTCTTTATAGGCAAAGAGATAATAAAGAAACCGTTGTTCGTTTTCTATTAGCTGGTTCTAAATACCCTGTAATTCTTGCATTCTCTTGAATGGCTTCACACTGTCTTGATATGCTTGATGTTATAGCATACGAAGTTACACTCAAATAATTCAAGGAAAGAGGCACTATGGCGACTACTATTATGTTAGATTATTTGGTGGTGAAACACAATGATGCTTGAATGGTTCGGTTCTGCCCTGCTTTGTTCTGTTACAATGTCCTCTCTTATCTCAATCTCCACCCCCCCTTTTTTTAAACTTAATCTATTTTCTCTCATTTTTTTTAATTAAGGGAAAACTAAATTAAAAATAGTGGGGCATATTATAGTAACTTTCTTGGTTTTCCTATTAACCTGATTTGAACCCCAGTATTGCTCTCCCCATCTTGTTCTGTCTGATTATTCTATATTCTATTTTGTTTGATAGTATCAAGTTTGAGGGTATAGGCAACCACTTTGAAGACAATAAGATATACTATGATGCCCATTATGGTTTGACTATTATCCTTTTTTTGAAGTCCTGCAAGTTCTTCAGTGTGGGTTTTATTGGTCTTGTTCTGTACTGTTTTGATCAATTCTATTATACCTGATGATATAGATAACTCAGTTTAAAAATAGCAAGAGGCACAATGGTAACCACTTTTGATCACCTGGTATTCTATTTTTGCATCATGTACTATGCCCACTCTTCTGTTCTAACTGACTCTGTTTTGCTTAGTCACATTTGGTTTTATTCTCTTCAAAAAAATTAATAAGAACCGTGGGAGTAATAAAACCCAAAAAGTCTAACTGTTAGTGTAAAAAAGAGAGGAAAGGAAGGTGGACTAAGGGATATAACTGCAGGTACGTTCGAGTGTGTAGGATGGAAAACCATATTACTGAGCTTTTGTTGGATCACTGAACAGAACTGTCTCCAATTTCACTGTATGAATGTCCACTTTATATGTTTTAATTTTGTAATTTGTACAACTTCAAGGGAAGATAATATGTAACTTATTAACTGGTGATTTCTTATTGTATATTTTTTTCCTTGAAATACTGTATTAAATGTACCCTTTTACTGCTTTTTTAAATATCTTTCTTTTTTCTCTTTAAAAAAATATGTGCAAAGGCTTAGCAATAGAATGTTCATCATAACTTGTTTATATAATCTAAACTTTAGAAATGTTCAACAGTTAAAGTTCAGTTGTAGTACATACACACAGGGAAATATCATGCTGCATCAAAAAGCAAAATGAAGGGCTTGGCAGATAGCTCAGCAGTAGAAAGCTTGCCTAGCATGCACTTGGACTTAGTGTTCTTCTCTGGCATTGCAAAAAAAAAAAAAGGCAAAATTAATTCTTACATTTCTCTATACTGGAAAAAGTATAATGTTGCATGATAAAAACAGATCAAAAACTAGGTCATGAAGGATGAATTCATTTCATGAAACAGAATTCATGTTGTTGTAGATAATACACGCATATGCATAGAAAAGCATTTGGAAAGGTAGAGTTAAAATTACTTGTGTTTGTCTTTGTTGAAAATGGGAAAGTATTATGGGTAATTTGAATTTTCACTTGTGTGTGCTTGGAAGGGGGGTTCTTTATTTTCTGACCTTTATATGATGGATAATAAATTCTAGTTATTAGAAAAAGGAAAAGAGAAAGAGAAATGTTTCACCTTTCCATATGTGCTGACACTGTTTGATCATTTCAGGTAATTGTGAAGACAAGAACAGAGTATCAACCAGAACAGAAGAACAAAGGGAAGTTCCGGGTGCCAAAGATCGCAGAATTTACGGTCAGTTTCTTGCTGGTGTAGGAGAGTGTAAAGGTAAGGCTGGCAGCGGCCAGCTCAGCAGCCTTGTGCTGGGAAAACAGGTGTCACTGTGGATTATAAAAGTAGCCCAGGCTGTTTTTGGAGGTTTTCTTGAAGCCACTCTGTCTGTAACTGAATTCAATCAAAGGATAAGAGCTCTACACATGTACTTTTATATAGATGTTCTGATAAGCCCTTCTTTTATTCTTTTATTTATTCTTATCTCCTCCTTCCTACCTTTTCATCACTATCTTTTGAAAATGTGATGGAAATACACAAAAAACTCAAAACTTTGTCAGTGGATTCCAAATAGACAAAGGGAAAGAAAAACTCACTTGATAGTAGTGCAACCCTCATGGTTGATTTTCTGTTTCTTAGTGGAAGAGTCTGAAGCAATGATAAATATGCATCACCTGATGTGATGAGTTGCATGATAGAGCCATGATGCAAGCTCTAAGAGGATGAAAAAAGAGATCATTTAGGAGTTAAGAGACAGGAGCAGGGAATGAATTTAAGTAGACACGAGGTTTCTGGTGCGTGAACAGAGTATAACCTGTGTAAAGGCTCTGAGGCTATCAAAATGGTAGCTCTAGTTTGAACAAGGACAGGGGAGATTCGGCTCTAGAAGAGGGGTGAGGAGTATCAGAGATAAGACTGGGCAAGTAGGCAGGATGCAGTCTGTTCCAGCCCTGGAAAGCAATGGGAAGATGCTGAAGGACTTTAAGAAGACGATGGATATAACTGAATTAGGGTTTTGCAAAAAGTATGCTGTGTTTTAAATGGCTTAAGGGGTGCAGTGGGCAAGAGGGAAAATGGGGCAACTACTAGGTGCAATAATCAGCCAAGGAAGGAAGGGCAGTAGCTCAGACAAGACAAGGAGTGGGTAGAGAAATGCAGGCCGACCTAGAAGATTGGTAGGAGGCAAAAATCAGTCAGGAAGACAGTAGAAAAAAGTGGTTCTATGGATGGATATTGGAGCAGGCTGGTTGGGTTTGAGCCTTGTTTTCACTATTATTATCTACATGGCCACAAGTAAGTCACAAAGCCTCATTTATCAAATAAGGATAATAGTAGGGTTTGTTTGAAGATGAAGTATAGAACACATACAGATTAAATGGCACAGTTAATTGTAGCTATTTTGTGTCATCTTTGACTAGTGGCTTTGAAAGTGAAGTCAGCCCTCTGTTGGTTATCTGGGGGTAGCTATCTTTCTGCACCCTAAATCTGGTTAAAGCAGTTGGGTGTGTGAGCCTGAGTAGGAATGTGGCACCTCCATTGTCAGTCTCCTTTTTGAGGACAATGACTGCTCTTTCAATGTTTCTTTGGTGTCTGCCACACAATGTGATTATAGAACTGGTCCAGCTACACATCAGTACCTGCAAGAACAAGTCCGCTCCAGCAGGAATGAACACGCAGCTTTGAGCGGAGGCTGCGGTATCTCGGTAGATAATGCGTGTAACCAGGAAAGCAGTAAAATTGGTCTTTCCTGGCACTGGAGGTCAGAAAAAGTATGCCTAGACATGAATGTATATTGCCATGCTATCTATAAAAATCAAAGTATTGGACATTGTTATACTTCTCAACAACTTTCTTGTGATTCCATAAAGAAAAGCACAACTGTGTGACAGAGTCATTTTTGCTGTTCTAAGAATCACTTTTTTCAGAGTAATTTCACAGTCTTATGAGATAGTCTTGTCTTCTGTTTTATGCTTTCCATACTTTTACAACAGACTTGCATTGCCCTAATAATCAGATAACAATAATAATTACTCTTTAAAAATTTTTGTTCTTTTGCTAGAATTTTAGGAGTTTTTAATGAAATCTTTCCTTACCCAGAATATTTCAAAGGTTGGCTATGAAGATACACAGTTTTAGGAAGGGCTTGAGAGAGAATGCTGAGTAAAAGAAAGCAGAGGTTAAAGTTGTATGTTTTCTAGTGTTGGATCTATGAAGAAACGCACAAGTATATGGGAAAAAAGCTTAGAAAAAAATCTATTATGGTGCTGTCTGTGGCTGTGTTACCAGTCTTAATGTTGGACAGTGTTGTAGTTTTCTTTCTTCTTTGACAGCTTTTGATTATGGCTTTTTAACAGGTAAATGTGAGATACTGACACTAGCCCCACCTCCAAAGTTTCACTTTTCCTGGTTATAGTTACCTACAACCAACTGTGGTCCAAAAATACTATATGAGGAGTTCCAGCAGGAAACAATTCATGAGTTTTAATCTGGCCCATGCCATGAAATCCCATGATGTCTCACCCTGAAAATCATCCTTTCTTTCAGTGTGTCCATAGTGTATATACTACTTACCTGTTAGTGATTTAGTAGCTGTCCCAGTTACTAGATTGACTATCATGCTATCACAGTGCTTGGGTTCAATCACCTTTTTTATTTTATTTAAGAATGGCCCCAAAATACAAGAGTAATGAGTCTGGAAATTCTTTTATGTGCCAAAGTGGGAATATAAAGTGTTTCCTTTACGTGAAAAGATGAAAACTCCTAATTTAATAAAAAAATATACTAAAGTTGCTGAAATCTACGGCATATTATTATTGTTACTCCCTTACTGTACTAAATTTATAATCCAATTTTTATCATTTAGGGTTTAGTATTATTTGAAGTTTCAGGCTTCCACCAGATCCATGCCGGGTCTAGGGCTTTCAGTGATTTAAACAGCCAGTTGCTGCACATGTGCCATAGGCTTGCCATCACGGCAGTGGGTGTTTGCTCCCCATGCCTAAGAGGGACTTCTCTAACTCTATCTTTCGAGGGGCAGTAATGACTCAGAGAGCTGACATAATCTGCTCATCCAGGCACCCACTGGCAGAGCTAATGTTCAGAGTGAAGCCTGACTGGGCTTTCCTTTCAACCGTGCTACCGCCAACAGTAACTACCAGTCAGTACAGAAGTGAGTCAGCTGTGAGAAAAGGCATGGTGTGGTCAGGGTGCAGGGCCTGTGGAAGTCCCCGGTGCAGTTTGGCCCAATTAGTTCTAGAAGTCTGAAAGGAAAGGATTTGTGGTTCCACAGCAGCGGTTTGTCAGCATTGTCAGGCACAGTGGAGGAGGGCCCTGCCACTTGGAGCAAAAAAAAAAAAAAAAAAAAAAAAAAAAGGACGAATGAAGCAAGTTCTTGTTTGCTTAAATAGAGCTTGAAGCATTAATTAGCCTGGTTTTTCCGCTTTCTTCAAGAGGGCTCTCTGTGTCCCTGTGGAGGATACATCAACTGCTGGAGGGTGGATGTGGGGAGAGCAGGGAGAAGGCTGCCATGATAATTAGGAAGAGACTGAGGGTCTGAGCTGAGTCAGCTCGCTGAGACTCAGGGAGCCACGTGGGGCTGTGTGGAGTTAAAATTCATGGGCCTCGTTTCTGCTGGAAAAGAGAGCCTGGGGGACTCCTTGGCACTTGGCTTGTCTGCCTGGGTCTAGTAAAGCAGAAGGCTAGGGAGATGCAGTGTGTGTGAGGTGCCTAAAGCTGTGGGTGGGGTCTTTCTACCCTCAGATGTCATTCAGAGGTCTGCAGCAAAGGATGGAGATTTAAGCCAGAAGACGAGGGCCGGAGGTTGGAATTTGCAGTCAGTCTTAGACAGCTCTGTGCTGGCAAATCATTTCTGGTCGGTCCATAGAATATATTGTCTAGGGTAAAGGTAACTTTAGAGATGACAAAGTTACATCCCTGTCACTGTCATCACTTCACTGAGTGATTTCAGATTTCAAACTTGTGATTTTAAGAAGCTTGTGACTTAAAATCTGAAGACTGCCTTGGAGAGAGCAGTTTATAGCAATTATGTTGCAAGAAAGGGAAATGAGTGTAGGGCGGGGAGAGATGAACAGAGAAAGACTGGCTGAAGGAATTACCTGGGAGTTTTGTCCTTTCTAAAGCCAAAGACGTTCTTGCAGTCACTGTAAAAGATCATGTGCATGTAATATTTTCATCAGTATAACTTGAGCCAACGAGAGGGTCTAGAGAGGAAACTCCCCCTTCTTTCTGTAGCTTGGGAACTGGGAGATTGTCTAACGCTGATTTTGCTACAGAGTGTGCTGGTGTCATGGAAAGTGCTGGCACAGCAGGAAGCATGGTGCTGTGCAGGGTGCTGGGACTGTGGTCAGTGGCTGTTTTAGGGAGGTGATGATTTTGCGAAAGGTCCTGGTGATGTGGAAGGTGGTGATGCTTTGCAAGGTGGTGGTGAAGTTGCAGATCCTGTGGAGAATGTTGGTGCTGTGGAAAGTGCTAGGCTTATGGAGGATTCTTGGCTATGAGAGGTGCTATGGAAGGTGTCGATGGTGTGGAGCGTGCCAGTGGTATGGCTGATGCATGTGTTGGTGAAGGTGATGCTGCTGTGGATAATGCCCAGTTGTTCCAGGACTGGTTCATCAGTGGGAATCATGTTGTATCTGGAAGCTATTGTGTTAAGAGGATAAAAGACATTTGGGGGAACACTTGCACTTGGAGGCTGGGCTCACCTGGAAATTTCATGAATTCATCCTCTGTTAACTTCATGACCTTGGGAAGTCCTTCACCTCTTTAGGTTTCTGATTCTTCATCAATAAAACTTGAGCATTAGTTTTGAGATAACAAATAGTATAAACACTTCACACACTCAATGGGCTTAATAAGTGAGTATTTTATTGATTTCCTATTCATATCCTTTTTATTTCTCCTGGGTTTTTGTCTTCCTGCATAATCAGCTGGATTTTAACTATTGATCGGGTTCTGGGCCTCATTCTCCTGGCTTTTCCCATGTGGATTCTCTCACAGAAATGTGACTGAAAACCCGTAGGAGCCATTCAAGGTTTTAGTCAGTTCAACAGCAGGATCCGTGGGTGGCCTTTGGTTCTTAACAGTGACCTCTGACGTCGTATGCTTTTCTATTAGTAAGCACAGGGTATACTTTGTAGACTATTTTTCATTAGTTAGAATATGAATAATTACAATGTATTAAGAATGCTTTGGCTCCGCTTTTCAGTCTAACAACAGTCTTGTGA